CATTTCTTTGAGAAGAATATTGACAATGAAAATCTCAAAGATCTTTTACCACAAACAGTTTTATCTGGATATGATCTAAGACCGATATGTAAATATCATAATTATGTTTGCAGAACCGAACGTTTTAAGAATTCGTTTTTACCTCAAAGTATATTAAAGATTAACAGTAAATAAGTTTTTAGAAATGTAAATAATCTTAAATATGTAATTATTATGTAATTTTAACTTATCCTCTTAATTTATGTAATACTGGTGTAATTTAACCTTTTTGGGTTACAAAGTCAGTAGTCATTAAATCAATTCAATTCAATTCAATTCAATAGGGAGTGAGCTGAATAATAACGCAACAAGACGCCTGCTTAGGCGTTCACACTGGCTTGAAAATGGCCACGTTCGTGGTAGGGTGTAATGTCCAGTAGAGAAGTAGTTGTATCCCTATACAGGAGGTCTGTACCGTATATAAATACAATCATGATCAGCAACTATCAACCATAATATACGTATAGGCGTACCCCGGCTACGGGCAACTCAACCTGACAAGCCAGGCCCACTGTAACTATGATCATCAACTATTAACCGTAAATGATGGGCCAAAAATGGCGAAGAAATGATATAGTCCTTGACATAGACGATTCTTCTAAAAAATACGCCAATTTGCTTCCATTTATAAGATAAACTGATCCCAACCCCAAGCCCTTCTCTAACCCCCACCAGTAAACATCTAATAAACAATATGTGAATTAAAAAAGTGGGGGGAAAAGTTAGATCTTGTTCAAAAAACAAATCGAACCGTACCACGTTTCACTTCGCCGCACGCAACGCCACCTCGCTGAATACAATCGAAAAAATACATTTTTATAGTAATATATGATGAAATGGAAAGTAATTTGGTGCAAATAATTAATGTAATTAGGTGCAAATCTATAATTATGCAAATGAACACAAGTGCACAACGCATGTTTATGAGTCTACAACGTATATTTATACTTGTAATTAAAAAGTCAAACAGTCAAACCTAAAACTTGTCCTTGTTTATATTCCACTATATTATACAAAATTCGCTTGGTCCAAATTTTGAGGTTTTCGAGTTGTTACACAAAGAAAAACACGCAAGAGAGTCCAGAGTGCGACACAACGTATTTTCCATGGGAAACCAGCACAATTCTTTGAAAATTCAACGAAACTGAGTGAAATAATGGAAATATATATTAGATCGCTCAGTGAAAAGCCGCCATTTTGAAACTGACCTGAATATGTCACTGGAGCACTCTATCCTTGGAGTTCGGAATTGTGCGCGTGCGTACAAGAAATAAACGAAAGGCTAATGTATCAGTCAAATCCAAACGTGCCCATCCCCCCGGGGCCAACCCCCGGACTTTTGACAATTTTCGAAAATATGCGACAAATTCCCGGGGGCGGAGATAAAAAACACGTGAAAATGCCCCGCAGCGGGGAAAAAAATTAGTAGCAAATCCTTATCCCCCACCCCGGGGACAGCTGGACAGTAAGCTATATATATATCTGGAGTAGGAACTTCAGTCATTCGGCCTATGAGAAAAGTGAAGCCAAGATGGCGGCAATTGACATCCAATAGCTCTGAAGGTCGTAAACAGTTTTTATACCATTTTCCCAAGCTAATTCCAGTTTTTTCTAATGGACCGTATCACTAATCAAGTTTTCAGTTCAGAAAATCACAATATTATTCTTTAAATCGAAGTCAAAATACGAAATTTCAACACACTCCTTGCCAAGATGGCGGAAATTGAAGGAGCTGTTCGACGTCAGTTCCAGTCCCTTTCTATTGTTTTTGTATGCGCGGTTAGCACGAAACTGGCTTCACTTTGAGCAACCAAGTTCCTACTCCAAATATATATGGAGCTCACTGCAGCTGGACTGTTTGGCTAAGAAGAGTAGGTTATTCAACTACCTGAAAATAAAGAGAATACTGATTATATAAACATAAGTGTTATATAGAGTTTTTGGCCACTGAGAAACGTATTTAAACACACGTAAAAAATACGATATTTTTACGTGTGAAAATATCATTTGTTGTAAAACGCATTGCCACGGACGTTTTATTGTTTTTCACTGAATTTTGTTTATATAATAAACAGAAAAATACATGGGTGCTTGGAAATACCAGATTTATTTCTCGTGTTGAACATGATCTCACTCGTTCGCTGCGCTCACTCGTGAGATATCATGTTCAACACTCGAAATAAATCTGGTATTTCCGCGCACCCATGTATTATTCTCTATTTCTTCAAGGTTTCGAGGTTTTGCTGTCGTCATGCTCTAGGGCATTTACTTTTAATTAATGTTTGCGGCGTGGTTCAAATTCATGCGTTTTTAAACAACAACTTGACTGGTTTATATTTTATTAAATGTTTTATATTATTATCAAGTTATCGGTGATCTTAAAACCTCCAAATCCTTAATTTCAAATGCCCCTCCAGCCCTCCCCCGGGCAAAGGTTTGAGTTCAAATGCCCAACCCCCGGGACGTGCTTTACAGAAAAGGGCACGCTTGGATTTGACTGATGCATAATAAACGAAAAATGTACCACAATCATGGCACGAGCCGGCTATTACGTACATAAATACGAGTTTGTTAGTATTGTATTTAAATCATGGAATCGATGGCATTTTGGCTTAATCGTTGCACCCTGAGTCTGCGATGAGCTAACGCAAACTAGATTTCTCGACTACGAAAAAAACAGGAAAAAAACAGAAAGAGGGCTTTAAGACACTTGGCCTACAGGCACCAGTGTAATAATGTAAACCAAAACTAAACCTTAGATCGGCCAGCGCGATTGTAATAAGATCATGAATTTTGACAACAATTGGCCTACAACAAATGCATGATTTCAATGGTCCATTGGGCTATCGAAGGGGAGATGGCTGTGAAACTCATTAGAATAACAATATATATAACTCATTATCTATGTTGGTCAACGTTTATTCATAAATCTGGCCCTTCACCGTCACGTGTGTATTGTATTTTTACCCAACTAACCAATAGCAATGTTTTAGGAAAGTCATCTATCTCGGTGATTCGAACAATATAGGGAAACTGGAAATTGCTATTGCAGTGGATTTGGCAGAAATACAATACACACGTGACGGTGAAGGACCATATTTATGAAGATTCAAGATTCAAGATTCTTTAATGACACTATTTCATTAGATTAATTACAAGCAGTTATATGGAATAGATAATAGAACGAAAAGAAAAAGGAAGATAAAATCAATATAGTGTTAGTGCACAGTGGCCAAAGGAGCATAGCTTTCTAGTTGACCACTGTCTACTATTTCATGATATTAACTAAATGAGATAAGCCAAAAGAAACAAATTGTGTCTCTAAATAACACAATTACAAAACATAATATATAATCAAGACCATTTACAAACTATATTAATTTATCATTTTTCTAAATTTGTTCGGATAGGAGAAATACTGAGTATTGTCTTTTAAATATACCAATTGATTCTGAGTTTCTTATGTTTACAGGTATGTTTTCCCATATTTTTGAAGCAATATATTTGAAAGCGTATATTCCATAATTTGTTCTTACTTTTGGTCTCGTGAAATTCAATTTCGATGCATAACGTGTATTATAAGAATGGATACTGGAAGCCATTGTAAGGAAATCCAAAACTGAAAATAGAAGGCACAGCCAGACAGCCTTTTTTTTATGTGCAATTATATAACTCAATGTAGCAATGCGCAGTTTAAAAATATTATCTAATTTCAAAATCCCAAGTAATTTATAGTAAATAGAGGCATTTTCTCTGCTAACGGGCAAAGAAAATGCTTCTGATAGATTTGTTTTGTTTTGTGCATATTTTAGTCAGCTTGGATGCATATGTATTACCCCAACTCATTATTCCATAATTCAAATAAGGATATATCAATGTAAAATAGAGTTGTTTCAGCATCTTTAAATCAACGTAATATCTTAGTTTATTAATTATACCAAAATTTTTATTAATCTTAACATAAACGTGTTTAATTTGGTGATCCCAGTTCAAATACTCATCTAAATACACGCCTAAATATTTAACATAACTTTTCTGTTCGATATTATTTATATGAATTTTTGCAATTTTTCGATTGGGAGACGTGAATACCAAAAAATTTGGGTTTTTTTAAATTTACTGATAATTTATTAATTGTACAATATTTAAATAAAGCTTGAATTTCTTCATTCATCACAGTTTCAAGCTCATTGGCATTTTCACACGAATAAAATACACTTGTATCATCGGCAAAAATCCGAAAATAAAGTTTTCTTGAACAATTCGAAATATCATTTATGTAGAGCAAAAATAGTAATGGTCCAAGAGTAGATCCTTGTGGTACATCACAGAGCAAATTCAATTTGTCGGATTCAGTATCTCCTACTCTAACATATTGTTTACGATTTGTAAAATAATCAGTAAACCATAAAAGAGGAACACCACGAAAACCATATTTATTCAGTTTAGAAAGCGGTATTTCATGATTAACCGTATCAAATGCTTTGGAGAAATCCAGAAAAATACCACATGTTTAGTTGAATACACGTTGACTAACACAGATAATGAGTTATATTGTTATTCTAATGAGTTACACAGCCATCTCCCCTTCGATAGGCCATGGGTGAACCAGACTTTACTTTAAAACACATGCAGCCATAACATTGGTTCTACTAGACCGATTTTAATAATCTTAGCGTCAAAATTCATCTCTTCGATGCCCGGGCCACTGATAAATTAGCTGTGTAAAAATCTGAAACATACATTGCGTTTTTTCGGTCACCCTTTTTTTACCAAATTCCAATCATTCTACCGCTTTTAAGGTATGCCTAAATGTTCCAACGACACTCGACATCACAATAACAGTGGCTGAGGGATTTCTACGGGGTGATGAAACATACCAAAGAGTTGTCAAAACCCTAGACAAACAATTAAACCGCACAAATCTCAAAGCTTTCGACGACTTGGATGTCTACGAACATATGGACGCGGTAAAGAAGAGAATGGAGGATATGGCTAAGGATTTATCTGTTGAGGACGCTTCATGGGACATCCTGGAACATGCTCGCGGACATTTGGCACATGTTGAACGTCAGACGTCTGTGAAAGCGCACTCGTTTGAAAAGCTACCAAAACTTCCGCCCAGGGGACGACAACTAAGTACAGGAGATAAGGTAACTAACTATATAGCATACAATCCTGGTCAAAAATGTTGGTACAATTTACATTAACATTGCTGAATTTGACACCCACCGCAATAATTAAGAAGCACATCTAACCTCCCCTACAGTGTTGTGTTTTAGACTCGCAATGTGTTATGCGATTCTGTACAATGCATGCCAATGAAGCCACAACATACGAATTTTGTACAATATGTTTTGCTCTGTATAGCTCCTTATAGCATTTTAAACAGTTAGAATTGATAATTATAACTGTACATTAAACAGGCAACGCTAATCGACATGATTAATTGATTATCTTTATTAAAAAGTATCTATTGACTAATGTCAGTCAAACGGCACAACTAGGGACTCTTTATTCATTTTATCAAGTGACCCATGTTCTGAAAGATTCGCGTAACTTAGAGCCTTAAACGGACACCAAAACCCCTTTGGCATACATGATGAAAATTTCCCCCACCCTGACCCCAGTATTTCGTCAAATGTCCGCCACTGTGTCTGAACATGAAATTGTGAATACAATAATGCACTTATATCTATATGTCAATAGGGAATCTGGTACAGCACGTTGCTGAACTTATTGTTTCAGCTAATTATGTCCCCTATAAATCGGCATAATATGGAAAGTGCGACGTTTGAACTAGGCTTAAGGGTAAACCTAAATAACTCTTTGTATACGTTTGGTTATCGAGGAAAATTGTACAGTTGATTAACGTGCTGTTGTTATTAATTTAATTGCTTATTAAGCCACCTCCTAGACCACCAAAACCAGGACGAAAACCTGACCCAAAACCGCAGAAAAACCCTGGCAGCATGTTGAAGAGATGGGTAAGCAAACGACGCAGTAACAAGAACCCCACGAACCCCACGAACTCCACGAGCCCCACAAACTCCACGAGCCCCACAAACTCCACCAACCCCACGAGCCCTACAAACTCCACGAGCCCCACGAACTCCTCGAGCCCCACAAACTCCTCGAGCCCCACGAACCTGACGGAATTTATGCTAGTATTGACGACATCTATGAAGAAACGATCTCTCAAAGTTCAGTTTCCGAGGATTATGACGCTTCTGGATATACTAAGCTGGATAGCGCATATATATCAGTAAGCCAGAAGCCTAATGCAAAACTTTTAAGGAACCCATCGAAAAGCGAACAGGTAAGCCTACCAGCATTGTTCATTTACCTTCGAGTTATAGGGCAGGCGATTTACGTTTGCAGTGGTTGTATAAACTCCCTGCAGGTCCTAACCAGTGAGCTCCATATATAACAGGAGCGAGAACTCGAGCTCAAGATTTACCGAGTCGAGCGCGGAAGGCCAAAGAAACTTCTAGAGGGGTCTGGGGCCGAAACGTTCTTATTTTCTAAGGCATACGTCTGTATTCTAAAAGCTCACTCACACTCAAAGAGTGGAGCCGCGGTTCAATCTAAGGTTCGAATAAAACTAAAGGGCACTCAATCTCGTACCCAGAGCAATGCCTGTGCGCGGGCTAGGATGGCATTGGCTCTGGGGAAATTGAATTTTTCCTGTGCTGTGATTGGTTTAACGTTTATCAGTAGTGCATGCCGACAAAGAACAGGAACCCCTAAATTTAGGGATTTCGGTTGTCAATTTACCCAGATGCAATGCCATCTTAGCCCGCGCACAGGCATTGCTCTGGGTACGAGATTGAAGGGCACTTGGAAATTGCATACCTCCGCCAGCGAATTAAGTATCCTGCAGAAATTATATAATAGGCTAATTATTACGCAATTAATTTACTCTGACCGGCAAACCAAGACAAAGTTTCGTTAATTTCTCATTCAAATTTCATTCAAGTTTAAGCAAAATTTAATCCGTTTGTCCTTGGGCAATGTCCATTAGTTCCACAAATTTTCGTATTAATACGTGTGCTACTTTTTAAGTTATCGCGCTGACACTCACGAACAAACAAACAAACAGACATGCACGCACATGCACAGACCGCACACATAGGAATCCGAATGAAAACATAACCTCCTGCATTGGAGGTAAAAATGGAGGCAGAATTATGCAATAGTTCAAGGAAGAGTGTTTCACGATTTAGTAGATAATTTCACCTAGGCCTCTTCACTATTCGGAAATCTCTTATATGATCATATTATTTCTACAGACATCATCAATACAGAGTAGCCCCCTAGCACAGACTACCCGCCTACCAGCAATACAGAGTATCCCTCTACCATCAACACCACAGACATTACCAATCAAGCTACCACCTCAAACCAAAGAAGACAAAGAAGCAATCTATGAAGCAATTTCCCGATTTCCTCAAGACCTATCAGGCCTAGGTGTCGCAGACGTTAGTAGACTGCTTGGACATTTAAATTTGAGTGACTACATGCAGACATTTGAAAATGAATTGATTGATGGAACGATGTTGGTCAGCATGGATCAAGACTCGTTAAAGTCTTTGGGCGTGAAACCATTTCATTGTAAGAAATTGTTGGACTTTATCGGTGGTTGGCGTCCGAGAGCTTAATGTATGAAAATATGAATTTTATCTTGTAGTTGTTGGCAACCTGTTTCATTTTGTTTATTCTCATTGCCATTTAATATTTTTTAGCATTAAATAGCTAACACTTGACTTGCCACTACTTTTGAGGACAGCCTGAAGTAGTCCAGAAATGCGAAATAGCTTGATTTATTCATTTATTTGGGTGTTATATAAAACAAATAATGAATATTTTCATTCGTGCCATAGTAAAATATTTTCATTCGGTGAAAGGTGGATTTTCCATTCCACTTGGCTGTCTCCTCGTGAATGGAAAATTCCAGTTTCACCTGATGAAAAATTTTACCAATGCATCACAAAGATTCATTATTATTTCTATACTGTCACAATCGCACAGTTTGCCTTCGATCAAAGAAATCCTGACAGTGCAAACTACAATAGCCTGTACAACGTATGCACGTCACATGTGTAAACTGATAAATCATATATTTCGAAATAGAATCATCGTGAAGTGAACAACCGATCAGACTCTCTCGACATATACAAGAACGCAAATAGTACGAAATTTCAAGTTCGTTAAATGTAGAGTATAATTCTGATGAAGACTGACGGAACAAGCAAAGTTGAATAATTTCACACTCAATTTTGCAAAAATGTTTTTTTAATAAGGGTTTATTGGAAATCGCACAGCATGGCTTCGTTGCATATCATTGAATAGTTTCACAACGACACAGGAATTTTTTTGATTATTCAAAACATTGTGAGATTAAACTGTGCTATTTGTTTCATCTGACGAATATAGACTCAGCGTCCATGCGTTTTAAATTAAATCGCTATTAAATTTAAAAAGACTACTATTACACGATGTCAGTATCTCAAGAGTACAGGCTTGCCCAATCACTTGTTTGGAGTGACCAAGAGTTTAGCTTAGCCGAGTTTGTCAAACGGTACGAGCTACCCCAAGTTGTGTTAGTCGTAGACGGTTATTGTGGCGATAATGAGCGGACCACTTTTAGTAGTGGTCTAATTCTGACTCTACATAGTATGCATACGGCCAGTAAAATAGTATGCCAGCTTCCTCATAGTAATGCCGTGGTGGTTCCAACAAGCTGCCCGCTTAAAGCTGACATGATACCTATGGACTGTCGGGACACGAAATTGACCGCTCATCAATTGTCAACAACATACCAGAAAATCAAATACGTTCGACTTATTGACGTAGGCTCAATATGGAATAATAATTCGTTAGATACCTTAAAAATCAACGATATCCTACAGATTAAAAAAATCGACAGCAAGAGCACGGTCATACGATGTAAAAACCTCACAAGTGCACAAGATGTGTCGATTTTAATTGATTCCACTGCCGTATTTGTGCCATTGTTGGACTCAAATACCTACAACTTGGCTGAGATTCAGAAAAAATTCGGACTCCCGGCTAAGGTTCGCTTTTCAGATAAAAGAGCAGAAAGGAGATTGCGTTCAGTACCTGGAAAGAGAAAGCCTTCGACGTCTTCGACATATTTGTCAGATTTGGGTCAGATGACAGCCATTGAAGAAATACAAGAAAGCGACGTAATTGCTACGACTACGTGTTCCAACCTTGAAGAGAAGGTAGGTGTATATTTAGTGTTTTGTTCAAACTAAACTAACTTAAGGGCCATTTCTTCAAAGGTCACGGCGAGAAATATGCATTTATTATTTTATTCAAACTAAAGTAACTTTATTTAATAATATAGGTCCAGTAGGGATCTCGCAGTCGTCAGAGCAAGCGTCTTTCACCTCTGAGATCGTGGGTTTGATTCTCGCTATACGGACTCATGTGAAAAGAGTCTGTCAACGCTCTGCCGAAAGTCGTGGGTTTTCTCCGGTTTCCTCCCACAGGGAAAGTTGACAGGGTGGGTTAGGATAAACAAAGTTAAGAAAGTAATACCTGCACAATTGTTGTAAAAATAAATAGTCTAGGCTAGGATACTTGATGTAATCGGTCACTGAATAGCCCCAATTATGGGGAGTGAACTGAATAATAATGTAATAATGTAAACCAAAACTAAACTTACTTTATTTACAACGGGCAGCTCGACTATGATAAGGTCATGAATTTTTACACCACGTTTATTAAAATTGGTCTAATAGACACAATGATATGGCTGTTTAAATTAAGTGGTCATCAGTCCTATTGATACCGGCTTTGCAGAACTAATGCATGATGGGTGAACCAGACTGTATTTTAAAACAGTCATAATATTCATTTGGTTCTACTAGGCCGATTTTATTAATCTTAGTTTCAAAATTCATCTCTTGGATTACATTTTCGATGTGTAGAAATCTGAAACATACATTGCATTTTTTCGGACATCGTTTTTTTACCAAATTTTAATCATTCTACCATTTTAAGGTATGTCTGAATGTTCCAACGACAATGGACATCACAATAACAGTGGCTGAGGGATTTCTAAAGGGTAATGAAACCTACCAAAGAGTTGTCAAAACCCTAGACAAACAATTCAACCGCACAAATCTCAAATCTTTCGACGACTTGGACGTCTACGAACATATGGACGCGGTCAGAAAGACAATGGAGGAAATGGTATTTTTTGAAGACGCTTCAACGGAAGTCGTGGAACGTGCTCGCGAACATTCGCAACGTGTTGAACGTAGAAAGTCTAAGAGATTGTCCTGGTTTGAATGGCCACCGAAACCTCATCTCAGGCGACGAGAAAGTGCGAAACAAAAGGTAACTAGAAGACATGCAAAAATTAGTTGAGTGCCAAAAAATGAAATACAGTCCCAGAAAAGAAATACGAGGCAAGCGCCAAAACAAAACACATTTTCATTTACGTTTAGTGACTTTTGATAGTAAAAACTTGTAGAAAGTTGCCGTCATTCAAATGAATAACTATTTATTTCGTATGTATTTCATACATGAATGTGACCATGAATTTGCTTCTGCATAATTTTTCTCGTGAATATTGATGATAAGTAATTAATATTATTGGTTTCTCGTCCAATTTGGAAAAACACACACTTGTAAATTTGACTTCATAATATTTGCACTCTTCCTCCATGAAAAAAAAACTCAATCGTGCATGTTTTTTTCCAAATTGCACTCGAAACCACCATATTACTATACAAACTCGAACGGTCTTCCGCGTAGCCGTAGGTATAGATAACACCAGAAATCTGCGGATTGAGAAGGACTCCACTACCTAAAAAATACAAGTAAAACTCCGACGTTTCGAGAGAAGGCCCATCGTCGGGAAGTGCCTTCTCAGCATTCGCTCTAAAGGTCGAAGTTCTGCTCGTATTTTTCAGGTAGTTGAATCATAGTTAATAGAGGAGATGGTTTGGAAACTCATTAGCATTACAATGAAATCACAATAAACCTCATTATTATATACACAAGGTCTGGATATGAGATATTCTGCAATCTGATTGGTTCTCTACTAGCAGGATATTAGCTCATATCCTGCTAGTAAAGAAAAACAAAATAGCGGCCAAACTGAATTTACGATGTTTTGCAAACGAGAAAACGGCAAGTTGTCGCTTTTTATAGCCTTCACAGGATTAAAAACACAATGAAAAAACTCCCACAAATTGTTTTCAGGTTAGCAAATAAATTTTTAATATTTAAAATGGTTGAAAATATATATTTTTGAAAAAATAATCGGCCGAAAGAGCGAAGATAAAAACATAAACAAAATAGAAAAATATTGAAAATATTCGAAAAGCAAAGTCTGTGAATTCAGACCTTGTGTATATAATAAAACAGTTATTCCACTCACTCACGTCGAATATGAGCGATAGCCGATTCGGCGCTACGCGCCTCATCGGCTATCAGCTCATATTCGACTCGAGTTCGTAGAATAACTGTTAATTATCTTATGTTGTTCAGGTTTATGCAAAAATGTGGTCTTTCATCGTCACGTGCGTATTGTATTTTTCCCAAGTCAACCAATAGGAATGTTCAAAATGACCTATTGTTAAAGTCACTGATGGGCAATTGGACAAAACCGTTGCTATTGGCTGGTTGAGCAAAAATACAATACGCACGTGACGATGAAAGACCACATTTTTGCATAAACCTGAACAAAAACATAGATGAGGTTTATTGTAATGCTAATGAGTTCAGTTCCAAACCATCTCCTCTATTAACGATGGTTGAATCCGTCTGGTGCACAAACTCCAATTTTTCATTTCTTGCTTAGTTCTTAAAATATTTTCAATAAAAACAACGAGCTCCCTGAGCTTTTCTATCTTATTAACGATGGTTTTATTGATTTCACAAGCAGGGTTATATTACAATTAGTAGATGTTTAAAATGTTTTCAGTCAATTTTTTATTTGAAATAGTGACCAAATTACAATTTTGGGCTTGGTATAACATTTACTTGACCCGTTGTGACGTAATGCATACATATCCACAACAATCCAAGATGGCGGACAGCTCGCTGATTTATGATTATTTCAAGAACTACAAAACATGATTTGAAAAAGCTGTAAAAAAGTTTTCTACATAATTAATTCAAAGCTCTTTTAAATATAGGATAGTGTTTATTTATAGCCACATCCCTTTAACCAACCAACAACTAACTAAATAATTGAATAGGAGAACTACTTAAAAATGTTGGCCCATGACGAAAATTACGTACTGTTTAACAAACGAGCAGGAGTGTTTTATTAGGTTTAAAGTCACGAGCCCGCAGCGCGAGTGGCTTTAGACCTAATAAAACACGACCTGCGAGTTTATTAAACGGCTTCAAACACGACTACAAATTCAATAGATATACTGCCTTATTAGTATTCTTTATATAAAGAATACTAATGAGAACACGACTACAATAGATACTGCCTTATTAGTATTCTTTATATAAAGAATACTAATTAGGAGTGTTTTATCAGGTTTATAACCACTGCACGTGACATATTATGGCTATGATTTGCCAATAAGCTCAGTTATGAATTATTAATGAGTGTTTGAAATACTTATAGCAAATCATTTTAATTTATGTTTTCTAATTTATTATTTATTTTTACAAGGCGCCTCCTGAAGGACTGCCGACAGCAGGACAGAAACCCGACCCAAAACCAGACAAGAAATCGAAGAATATAAAGTTGAGGTCCCTATATAGCACTCTGAGACGTAAACAAAGCAGTAACAAGACTCCCTCAAATGAAAGCCACTCAAGTGCCCACAATTATGAAAAGCCCACTGATCGACCAGTGCAAGATCATGATGGTATTGACCACATCTATGAAGAAACGGCGTCTCAAAATTTAGATTCTGAAGATAATAACTACACAGATTTGGATACCGCATACACACCAGTACGCCCACGACTTTATGAAACATATAAAACAGAGGCTCCTAAAGTCAAAAAGGTAAGCTCACTACCACTGTAATACACTACACTGCCAGGGAAGCATGCATGGTGACAACTAAGATTCGCACGCTGCCCCTCACTGTTGAGCAATCCTTTACAGCGAGTAAATAATAAAAATTACAGAAATACCAAACACTGTTTACCGTCGCTAAGATGAATTCTTTTAGCATATATCATCACAAAATAAAAATGACCAAGAAAACATCAAATCGTTACGTTGCTTGTGTGATGTTACTCTGAGTGTATATCCACACCAGGCAGGCTTGAAAAATATGTCTGACCACGGTGGGAATCGAACCTACGACCTTTGGAATACTATTCACCTGAGTAAATTACACCAACACAGCAAATCGTTACGTGTTTAAATTAGTCATACTATCAAGCAAGTATTTTCTTGTACATATTAACTACAGGGTGGTTCACTCCCGAGAGAAATGATCCAGTCGGCCTCAAACAAAGTGAAGTCAGTCTCAAAATTATGCGTTTGTTTACATGCGGTGCTTTGCGAAGACACATCAAACTCAAACTATTGTCCCCAGTACTGAGTTGAAAATTTGCTCAAAAGGAGTCAAGCAGCTCAGAAATAATATGAAGAAATATATTACCTACTTATTTCGCGAGTTTATGAACGAATTATCAGTCTAAACACTCGCCAAGGAGTGTTTCGAGAGACTTTCCAAACATGGAGGTATCTATATGTGACAATTACGTGTTTGATTGTTTGCACTCTTATTAAATTCGGAATTTAGGTTCTGCAAGATCATTCACGGGTGATATTCTATATTAGGAAAAATTTTAACCCACCAAAATCAGACTCTGAAATGCGATGAATCTCGATCAAAATAGCTTTAACGAGATGCCCGCGATACGATATTTCTCCGGTCCCTAAACTATATTTTCAACTTGCAAAGTGCAACAACGAAATGACTACAAATTTTTAGCCGAGTTATATCAGGAAGTATGTTCACATGTAATGCGATATAGATGTGCCTTTTCTGCAATCAAGAAATTCGATCAGTGAACGACGCCCTAGCTGGTTTATCTGAAATCTTGGAGCGAAACATTGTTTCCACATGCAGACTAGGCAATGTTTCCAATTGTTGCCATCAGTTCCTGGAACATCCGCATCAGCCAAGCGCAGCTTTTCAAAGCTGAAATTAGTGAAAACTGTCATGCGTTCAGTAATGAACCAGGAACTTGTCCAGGAGTCGACTTTGCGTGTGAGCACGATCAAAAAGTTTCACAACAAACTGTACATATTATTTGTAAAAATTCTTAATAAATAACAATTTTGACATCGATTTAAATGCTTTGTACTCAACTTTTTATTGCAACACACCAACTCACCAGGAGTCGGCAGTGGCGCCATGGACGAGGGGGGGGGGCAGGGGGGCCATGGCCCTCCTATTATTGAGACCCATCGGGAAATTGTCAAGTACTGCCCTTGCCCCCCCCCCAAAAAAAAAAAAACCCAAAAACACGGCGCCATTGGGAGTCGGTCTGACTGATTCACATTTCAGTACTGGGTCGGTCTCATTTGTGATTACATCCCCCCCCCCAGTCAAAATCGATATGCCCGCCCCTGTGCACAGAGATCTCCATACTTTATATATATATATATATATATATATATATATATATATATATATATATATATATATATATATATATATATATATATATATATATGTTATATATATATATATATATATATATATATATATATATATATATATATATATATATATATATATACTATTTCCACATACAGACTACCAGCCTACCATCAATACACAGTATCCCCCTACCATCAACACCACAGACCACCAAACCACCACCCCCATTACAAATCAAGCTACCACCCCAAACCAAAGAAGACAAGCAAGCAATCTATGAAGCTATTTCTCGATTTCCTCAAGACCTATCAGGCCTAGGTGTCGCAGACGTCAGCAGACTGCTTGGGCATTTAAATTTGGGTGACTACGTGCAGACATTTGAAAATGAATTGATTGATGGAACGATGTTGGTCAGCTTGAACCAAGAGTCGTTAGAGTCGTTGGGCGTGAAAGCGTTTCATTGTAAGAAATTGTTGGACTTTATCGGTGGTTGGCGACCGAGAGCTTAGTAATGAAAATATGAATTTTAATCGTACGAACTAGGAGCATATTAACTGCATCAAAACTGTCAAACCAAATTGAAGTTTTAAATAACTTCGTCATGTATAAAATTCATTTCTGTTCTGTTTTTTCCCCCATCGGTTCAGCATAGTGCTATGCATTCAAACTCCAACAATATAGCTTGATTTCTAAAGGTCTCGTTTTTGAAAAGGCCAAATTTTCAGCGAAGAAAGCCAGAAAATGCCGATTACGAAAAAAATAAACGAACAGTTCTCCCAAAAGTTTTGTTTAGATATCGCCATTTGAATCTTAATAAGTAAAGTAACAAAAATTGTGCGCGGTTGCTTTCTAGCCTATATATTTTATGGTTCTTATGATAGGCCTATACTGTGTTGTTTTTCCGACTGTGTTGTAGACTATGATATGCATTGTGTAGACTAAACGACCAACATGGACAACACAATAAAAGTTGTGACAAAATTCGGAGAAAATCGGTTTAAATCAAAGTTTCGAAACCGAAACTTTGTCCGTCAATTTCATAGGAAATCCTTATTTTTGGGTCAGATAGAACAAAAACAAGAACACTTTAAACGCCCACCAAAATTCACTGAAAATTTGGTAAAATTAAATCTATAGAAGGTTAGGTGCGCCATGTTTAATTCTACCGGATTATAACCTTAATTAAGTATCCGTTTCGTCGAATTCCATGTTTCTTATTTGGCCAAGAGCTCTCGCTCCGGATTTCCGAAAGTTCGTCAAATTTGTCAAATAAAGTGGTGTTTTAATTTCACAACCCGCGCACATGCCCATAAATTTTGGAAATACAATATTTATATATGGTTATATATACAACACGTCTTTCCAAATTGTATGAGAAACCATATTACAAATTAGTAATATACATGAGAAAAATATGCAAAGCCAATTTTTGGAGGATTGGCATTGCGTGGGCGAGGGTCTCATTACGGCAGGAAATGTCTGCACGACAGATGAATTAATCATTACAAGTTGACGGCTACAGAAAGTGCGCACTTATCATTCTGCTTCTGTCTGAACCAGTTAATTGTGATATCTTCCAGAATAGTTCAAAGTTGTTCTGACCAATTCATTGGCGATTATTCAAAGCACAATTCAGTTCACATCTATTTGGCAAGTTATCAGCGTACAAAATGGCAAACGACACGGAACTCATTAAATCGTTCATTTGGAGTAAAACACAGACGAACTTGTCAAAACTTCTCAAAGAATACCCACTGCCTCAGATTGTTCGAGTCGTGGATGGCTTCTGCAGCAAAAACGAAGACACAATATTATATGACGAACAGATACTGGCCTTGCACGAAATACATTCAGTACGGAAGCTAATTGGTACGGACAGTTCAGATACGCAAGTAGCTGTTGCATTGTCGTGCCCAACACAAGTCCTAGTCTGCCCGTCCAAATGTAAGTACATAGCGTGTAAAGTCGAAAGTTTCCAATCCATTTTTCCTAACATACAATACGTACGAGTGAAAAATTTCGGGCCTCAATCAAGGAATGCCAATAATGAAAGCACGTTCAAAGTTGGTGACATAATACAAATTCAAAACATTGACAGAAAAAAGAAAAGTGTCCTTTGTCAGAATACGGACACCAAAGAAGACATGACTCTTTCCTACAACTCCCCGGCGATTTTTACCCCCTTGCTGAACTGCCAGAAATATACACTCTCGGAAGTTGTGACCAACTACGGCCTGCCATCGAGGGTGTGCCTTGTAAGCACCGGTTCGCAGGCTGCTCAAAACTCGGATCAGTGGAACAGCGCGTTAACAGGTCTCACTGAGGTGGTCTTTCATAAAGTGGAAACTGAAGTTAAAGTTATCGCAACTACCGTTGGGGGAGGGGTGGGTGAACTAACGCACTGTATAGGTCTACCGACTGACCTACCCATCAGCTGCACAGTCGCAAAACGTTTAACTAAAAATTGCGAGAGTTATGAAGATTTTCTTCAAACGCTACACGCAGGTTTCGACAGCAAGAACCTTTCAGAGAGAGTGAATGTATTCCAGGAAATAAGCCGTGTAAAGATACAGGATTATTCCAACAGTATGACTGTCTCACGACCACAATTACCCGACACCTTACCGAGTCTCGTACGAAGTACTGCGCCGAGAAATCAGCACCACGTTTCTCCAAAACCTAAGAAAAGAACCATAACGTTCAACCTCCCTCAGTCACCAAAAGATTCCAATTATCCACTAACTGATCCTAAACAATGCTCACGAAGTCCTCCCGAAGACAGTACGACCACAACCAAAGTAAACGACGAACTCTCACGAAACCATCCCGAAGATAGAGCGATTACGGCCGAAGATACTTACATTAAAATGGGGAGAACAGAGAAAAATGATTATAAATGCAATCGACCTAAAACACACTCGTTACATTCAAATAGTTATGAAGAAGTTAAGCCGCCAGCATGGAATTCAAACTTCAACCAAGAATTTGCCGCGAATCCTAGTTCACTCCCAAACAAACAATTATCCGAAAGTCACAGTGACTATGTCATCCCAATGATATCGCCAAATGTAAAACCTCAGACAAGGAAGTTTGGAGTACACAAACGAACGGATGCAAGAAATAAATCTACTGATAGTCATGGAAATGTCAAGTGCAAAATGGATATGAAGCATGTTTATGAAGAAGTGAATCCAAAATTGGAATGGGATTCAGATTCCAGGAAGTTTAGAAGATCTACGAATTGTAAATCGCAAACGGCATCAAATCTGAGATCAGAAAAACCATTAGAAAAGAAATTTGCAGCGATAATTACTACAGACGATAATTACGACATCCGGTCGATACAAATATTAGCAAAGTACGTATAGGTTAAGAAACGTTAGCACACGTGCGTGTGACACAAAACTGTTTATTGTCTCAAACAAAAGAACTCTTACAATCCTACAGTAACTTCTTTTATAGATCGTTAATTCCATGTTTCATTTTTAGATATTTTTATCTCTTTTATAAAGCTATATACAACCCACTTAACTTAATTCACCTTTCAGGAAAGTACATCCCTTGGCTATATAGAGCCTCGTTTTCGTGAATGTGAACGTCTCAATAATGAAAATCAGTTTTGCGTCATATGCATGCACAGTAATGTAGTGTAATGGTCCTGTAATAACAAACATTACCAATTGAAAAGTAATGATTAATAATAGAGCGATTACGGCCGAAGATAATTACATTAACATGGGGAGAACAGAGAAAAATGATTATAAATGCAATCGACCTAAAACAAATTCGTTACATTCAAATAGTTATGAAGAAGTTACGCCAGCATGGGATTCAAACTTCAAACAAGAATTTGCGAATCCTATAGTTTACTCCCAAACAAACAATTATCTGAAGTACACAGTGCATGATTACTAAAACTTTGCAATCTTAATTCAGACTCAATGAAGAAGACTAGTTCTATAGTTATAAAGGATTTGATGACATTTGAATTTTTTTAAAAATAAATGTGATCTAGCGTTATCATGAAGCGTTATCAAGAGCTTTGAAGTGAATTCTTCATGGTATGCTATATATGTATATATTTACAATAGAACGGTTATATGATTATCTTAAAAGGGCTAGTACTATACTGGTCATGCCATCAGAAAATTTTTAATAATTTGCATAATTCAAACCTTCAGAAACGTATTGTCTTTAACCTATGTAGATGCAGGTTTATTAGCATAGCATGCATGATCAGTTGCCATGGAATTCTTCAAAAGTAGCTTTAACAGAGAATTTCTCGAAAGAAGCTTTAAATATAGCGGTGCTTATCTTTGGAATAACCTTCCGCTTGAAGCTAAGCAAGCTCAAACAATTTATTTATTTAAAAGTTGTATAAAACAAAATTTGGGATGTCAATAACCGAGTCTAGATTCAGTTAATTATATCTTTATCTGGGACACACCATCGTGGATGGATTACAGTAGCTTTTCATAGTATGTACATATAGTAGTAGACTTAGTTTCCTTCCTTTTTATGGACACCCCATATAGCGTCGTTAAATAAAGTGTATATATATATATATATATATATATATATATATATATATATATATATATATATATATATATATATATATTTGTATAAAATAAGTGCAACGACTCAACAAATTCCACTAGGCATCTTTATTACTATTAGTTTCGTACCACAAGATGTGGCACTCATCAGATAAATTAGCCTTATGTTATATATATATATACATATATATATATATATATATATATATATATATATATATATATATATATATATATATATATATATATATATATATATATATATATATATATATTGCCTGAAGATCGTCTTGAATAAGGCGTGAAACTTGAGTAGCAATAATTAATTTTATATATAAATATATCTTGCTCTACTATAATACTAGTGTTGAGCACTTTATTATCTACTACAACAAAACAAGTTATACATATAGTTACTAATAAGATCAGTTAGAAAGCTGCGGTTGATAGCGATACGACTGCATGAAAAAAAATAAACCGAGAACTTCGAGCCGAAGGCCCTTCTCGTCGGAAAGTTAGTAGCGTGGGTCGGGATAACCTGCGATCAGGCGTTCTTGGAAGAAATAAACGCCCGAGACAAAGTGTGCATTTAGCCAATCAAAATGCGCCAGAAGTAAAAATAATCGCGTACATTTCGTAGGGAAAAGCCATGGGAAATAAAGGTTTAATAGCATGAAGACTAGCCTGCGTGTCGGGCTCTATATGCTTGAAATAGAGCCTGCTACTGAAGTCAGTAAAAAATGGACAGTGATTTGGATTTGAAAATAACAAAAAATCAAAACGGCGATTGTTAATTAGATTCTCAAAGCTAATTTAAAATACGGACTATTATTATTATTATTATTATTATTATTATTATTGTTATATTGTGTATGTATAGTTATTGATTTGTGAATTACCTTATATAAGTGAGATTTACAATTGTATGTGACTTAAAAAAATTCATTAATAAAGTTTCCATTATTATTATTATTTATAATTATTATTATTATTATTATGAACAATTCTATTTTAACACGGTACAATTTCACCTACTAAAATTAATTATGTACACAATATAAAAAGAAAAAAGGTGATCTTCCAACCGGCCGTGCTCACATGCACAAGCAGAAATATAAAATATATTATTTACAAGACGATTATTTTAGGTATAGATGGAAACAATGGCAGGATCACTTGATGTTAATTTGCATGTTTCAAGTTAGACTTAAAATTAGCAATAGTTGTTGATGCTTTTACCGATGCAGGAAGGCAATTCCAGACTTCCGCATCTCTGTAGGAGAATGCATTTTTCATACTATTTGTTTTTGGTTTAGGCAATGCCATTGTCAAATCGGCTCCGGACTGTCTTGTGTTATGGTCGTGTACATCACCCACATTTGTGGACATATCACACAAGTAATCGGGGACCAATCTGTTTTTCACCTTGTACATGAGCGGAAAGTTGTTGCATTCTTCTTTTTTCGAGGATCGGAACTCCTAGCTTGTTTAATATATCCGAGCCGATCGTGCGTATAATTCTCACGAGTGATTATTCGAAACGCTCTGTTTTGTAATTTTTGGACTTTAGCTGCTAATGTTTTCCCTAAGCAACCCCACACTTGAGCACAATAATCGAAACTAAGGTTGAATTATGGATTGGCATATTGTTATTAAGGTATTGAATTCGACTGTATCCCGAAGTCGGCTCTGAGGTGACCTTTTCTGAAATGTGTTCGACCTGCGCGGTCCAGTCTAGAGACTCGTCTATCATTAGGCCTAATGATTTTGTCGTTTCAACTCTCTTAATTTCTAAGTTACCTACACTGATAGCAGGATCGGCAGTCACTTGACTAAGCCTTTTCTTGGAACCAATTATCATATATTCGGTTTTACTATTGTTCTGCAGAGTTAATTTGTTTGCGGACAGCCAATTTGCAACATTGTTTAAATCTCTATTTAATGTTTCAGTGCATGATTACTTTGATATCGTCACTTGATGTTGCAATTTGTCTGTCATCCGCAAACATGTCTGGTTTTGCCCCGGCGTTTAAACATTTTGGTAAATCATTGATGTAAATTAAAAATAACAATGGGCCTAAACCAAAATCCTGAGGTATGCCTGTTTTCATAATTGATGGACTTGATAGTTTACCATTCACACAACAGCACTGGGTCCTATTTGATAGATACGACTCCAGCCAGCGATGTGCCGTTCCCTTTATTCCATAAGTTGCTATTGTCTAAGAGTATATTGTGGTCGACAATATCGAATGCTTTTTTCAGATCCAGAAACACAATCCCATTTAGTTTCCCAATGTCAATATTTGTATAATATCGTTGGTTATGTTCTGTAATGCTGTAACAGTTGAGTGAAATGGTCTAAATCCGTGTTGGGAGTTTGAAAGCAGATTACTAGTTATGTAAATAATTATAGATTTGGTTATGAATCAGCTTTTCCGCAATTTTGGCAACAACTGATATCGTAATTTTGGCAACTACTGATATCAACCCGCCAATATCTCGAAAATAAATATTCCAATTTTCCTCAAATGGCCAGGAATTACATACTAAATAATAGTATTGTTGACCGCGTTTATATAGACAGCAAAGGCAGTAATCAATGATCGAGGCCAAAAGTACAATTACAAGTACGGAATATCATAGTACGTAAACAACCACTTGGTATTACCTTAAAAGGCAAGGCCAATTTCTTACAGTGAAAGCGTTTCATTGTAAGAAATTGTTGGACTTGGCGACCGAGAGTTCAGTAATGCAAATATTAATTTTATCTTGGAGTTGTTGGGCAATCGAACGAAGTAATCAAGCTATTGTTCAAGCACAACATTTTATGCTCCTGGGAATTTTTCAGCGAAGAAAGCCAGAAAATGCCGACTGCGAAAAAAATAAGGGGGCCAATAAGTGAACAGTTCTCTCAAGTTTTCTTTAGATATCGCCATTTGAATCTTAATAAGTGAAGAAAGTAAAAATGTTTGCGGTTCTCTTTCTGATATTTTATGGCTCTTATGATATACCAGTGCCGGTTGTTTTTACGACTGTGAGTATATGATGCCGATATATCACGTTTGCGTAGACTACCGGCCAACTCATGGAAAACACAATAAAAGTTATGACAATTAAAATATGGAGAAAATCGATTTAAACCAAAGTTTCGAAAGTGAAATTTTGTCCGTCAATTCCATGGAAAATCCTTATTTTTGGGTCAGGTAGAACAAGAACACTTTAAACGCACACCAAACAATTTTTTCGTAATCAGTATTTGCAGCTTCCTTAATTCGCCCACTTGCACGGATCAAATCAAGTGGTGTTTTCCCAACACAGACAATTGCTGAGAAACGGGAAATACAATATTTATATATGAATTGGTTATTTATATAGATATGTATATATACAACACGTCTCTGAAAACTCACGAATACAAGTCGAGTGCACGTCTTTTTCCAAATTGAAAGAGAAATCATACTACTACTTAATAATATACATGCACGAGAAAAGTATGCAGAAGCCAATTTAAAGTTACTTGCAGTCTTGCATGAAACAAGTGATTTACTACAGCTTTAATGGCATTGCGTGGGCGAGTGTCTCATTACGGCACGAAATGTCTGCACGTACGATTCTACTATTGTATTGAGCAACGATAGATGAATTAATCATTACAAGTACGTAAGTACGTTGACGGTTACAGAAATTGAGCACTTATCATTCTGCTTCTGTCTGAACCAGTTAGTTGTGATATCTTCCACTGGCAAAGTTGTTCTGACCAATTCATTGGCGACTATTCAAAGCACAATTCAGTTCAGATCTATTTGGCGAGTTATCAGCGTACAATGGCAAACGACACGGAACTCATTAAATCGCCGTTCATTTGGAGTAAAACACAGACGAATTTGTCAAAACTTCTCAAAGAATACCCACTGCCTCAGATTGTTCGAGTCGTGGATGGCTTCTGCAGCAAAAACGAAGACACAATCTTATATGACGAACAGATACTGGCCTTGCACGAAATACATTCAGTACGGAAGCTAATTGGTACGGACAGTTCGGATACGCAAGTAGCTATTGCATTGTCGTGCCCAACACAAGTCCTAGTCTGCCCGTCCAAATGTAAGTACATAGCATGTAAAGTCGAAAATTTTCAATCCATTTTTCCTAACATACAATACGTACGAGTGAAAAGCTTCGGGCCTCAATCAAGGAATGCCAATAATGAAAGCACGTTCAAAGTTGGTGACATAATACAAATTCAAAACATTGACAGAAAAAAGAGAAGTGTCCTTTGTCAGAACACTGACACCAAAGGAGACATGACTCTATCCTACAACTCCCCGGCGATTTTTACCCCCTTGCTGAACTGCCAGAAATATACACTCTCGAAAGTTGTAACCAACTACGGGCTGCCATCGAGGGTGTGCTTTGTAAGCACCCATTCGCAGGCTGATCAAAACTCGGATCAGTGGAACAGCGCGTTAACAGGTCTCACCGAAGCGGTCTTTCATAAAGTGGTAACTGAAGTTAAAGTTATCGCAACTACCGTAGGGGGAGGGATGGGTGAACTAACGCACTATATAGGTCTACCGACTGACCTACCCATCCGCTGCGCAGTCGCAGAACGTTTCACTAAAAATGGTGAGAATTATGAAGATTTTCTTCAAACGCTACACGCAGGTTTCGACAGCAAAAACATTTCAGAGAGAGCAAATGTGTTCCAGAAAATAAGCCGTGTAAAGATACACGATTCTTCCAATATTATGACAACCGTCTCACCACCGCAACCCGACACCTTACCGAGTCTTGTACGAAGTACTGCGCCGAGAAGTCAGCCCCACGTTTCTCCAAAACCGGGGAGAACAGAGACAAATTATTCAAATAGTTATGAAGAAGTTAAGCCAGCATGGTGTTCAAACTTCAAGCAAGAATTTGCGGATCCTAGTTTACTCCTAAACAAACAATTATCTGAAGTTCACAGTGAATATGTCATCCCAATGATACCGCCAAATTTACAACCTCAGATCAAGAAATTTGTAATACACAAACGAACCGAAATGGATATGAAGCATGTTTATGAAGAAGTGGATCCAAAATTGGAATGGGATTCACATTCCAGGAAGTTTGAAAGATCTGCGAATTGTAAATCGCACGAAGATCCGCAAACGGCATCAGGAAAATCATCAGAAATGCAATTTGCAGCAATAATTACTACAGGTGATAACTACGACATCCGGTCGATACAAATATTAGCAAAGTTAGACTAGGAAATATTAGAACACGTACGTATGACACAAAATTGTTTATTGTCTAAAGTTTACACTTGCAATTTTTGCTGCGATTATCTTCTTCTGATGGATGTGAACGAGTACATGAGTATGAATGTTCCGAGTATTTGTACCCTCATCTCAACATTCATAATACTTCCACTCGTTCACATCCATCAGAAGAAGAAAATCGCACCTGAAATCGCAGCAAAAATTGCAAGTGTAAACAGACCTTTACAATCCTAGAGCAAGTTCTTGTATAGATCGTTATTTCCATGTTTCATTTTTGAGAGATTTTCTTTTCTTTAAAAAAGCAATGCAATCCACTAAAACGTAATGCATCAATGAGGCATCAGTGAATACTTAATTCACCTTTCCGGAAAGTATATCACTTGGCTGTATAGAGCCTCGTTTTCGTGTATGTGAACACTAGTTAAAGTCTAACGTTTCAATAATGAAAATCAGTTTTGTGTCATATGCACTTCAGAGTAATGAAATGTAATGTAATGGTTCTGTAATAACAAACATTATAAATTGAAAAGTAATGATAAACTACTAAAACTTTGCAAGCTTAATTCAAACTCAATGAAGAAGACTAGTTGTTCTATAGTTATAAAGGATTTTATGACATTTGAAATCTTTTAATAATAAACGTTATCTAGCGTTATCAGAGCTTTGAAGTGAATTCTTCATGGTATGCTATATATGTATATATTTACAATATAGAACGGTTATATGATTATTTTAAAAGAGCTACAATCTTGGACAAAACCCTTGAGACCATTCCAGCTAATATTACAAAGTTATTGAACATTGACAAAACAAACTTTGTCTCCCCCTCCCCCCCAGTTCAATGTTGTGAACAACGCCGAAACAACTTTTGGTAATATACCATGATACAAGCTCAACATTGAGTTGGGGGAGCGGGGGTTTAAGAATGGCAACATGATTCAACATGGAGTTTATCATAAAAATACGCGAATTTTCTATAGGGGGAAAATGGTCTCAACCAGTTATGTCCAAGATTGTAGTACTTAAATGAACATAATTATGAAAACAATGACTTATCAGTGCCCCTGTTGTTAGTAATACATACAGTTGTAGAATAGTATGTTGTTGAATATTACATAATTTTATAGTTGATGCTTAATAATACAGGTTGTAAATTCAATTGGATATACAGGGCCTGTTCCGGGATCAAAAATCGCTTCAAGTCGTCCTAGCACGTAAGTTGCCTTTAATCGCCCTGAGTCGCCTTTATTTTCAACCAATTTTTCCTCAAATTTTCTTAAGTCGCCTAAAATCCCCCTACGTACAGTAAGCAGTTTAAATCTGCTCTCACTACGTTTCACCGGTCACATGAGCTGTTAAATAAAATCGGGTATGTTCAAATAGTGTTGGACCTGAATCCTTGTCTCACTCCAACAGAGAATTTAAAGAATGGAGTATTTCCTTCATTCAATTTTACCAAAAAAATTAACTGAAGAATACACAATATGCAATAATCTTAAAACCATAGAAGATGAGTTTAAAAAATTGTCTTTAAAGGGATACGGCAATATATATTTTTATTATTTCATTTTAAAGAACTGTTAAAATTATATGTTAATCTCTTTTACCGATTTTGCGTAACTTTATTATTTCTTGAGATATTTGAACAGAAAAAATCACAAATCAGCGAACTTTCCGCCATCTTGGATTTTTGGCGGATATACATGTGACATCATAAGCAGGGTCACGTATGAGCCCAAAATCATATACCTCAGTAACTATTTGAAATAAAAAGCTGTCTGACGACTTTTCAAACAAGACTTAATGTTATTTGGTCATTTAGATGTAGTTTTATATGGCTAACCCTGCTTATGACGTCACTAAAATCACCGCTAATGAGATAAAAATTAATCCGAGATGGCGGACAGCAAATTATTTTAAGTCAAAATATTTCAAGAAATAATAAAGTTACGCAAAATCGGTAAAGGAGATTAACATATAATTTAGTTAAAAGTTCTTTGAACTTGAAATAATAAAATGAAATAATAAATAAATATATTGCTGTATCCCTTTAACCTATTTAGATGCAGGTTTATTAGCATAGCATGATCAGTTGCCATGGCTAGCTTCGCCACTGCCTTCTGCCATGCAGTATCGTAGGCTTTTTCGAATAACATACAGCTAGGAAAAACGCTTTTCATTTTGTTTTACAAATTAAAATCTATTAATGAACTAGCAAGTGATTTATACTGTTCTAGAATTTTTCCCCAAACTAGTTTGACATGCATTTAGTCATAATTTTGCTGTCTTCTAAAATGATTTTTGAGACGTTCTCTGGTTGGAAATGTTTATTTATCACGAGCTTTCGGCTGCCAGACTGTAGCCTTCAACGGGTAGTTATATTGAAGGCTGCAGTCTGGCAGCCGAAAGCTCGTGATAAATAAACATTTCCAACCAGATAACGTCTCAAAAATCATTAGGTTCATTATTCCTGGTCGCACTTCCAACATATTTAAATATCTTCCGTCCCGGATTCAGGTTTCGGCACATATGCCATTTTGCATGACCGCCATGGTCATTTTACCCTAAAACAGTTAAGATTACCTGTGCTAAATTAAACGCATACAAATTCATATACAGGTCCTAGACTAATTAGATTATCAAAGCAAAATACGCACAATAACGGCCAATTTTTCCGCCAATATCTCGAAAATAAATATTCCAATTTTCATTAAAGACATTAAATGGCCAGGAATTGCATACTAAATAATAGTATTATTGACCGTGTTTATAGACAGCATTACAAGTACGGAATACCATAGTACGGAATACCATAGTACGTAAACAACTACTTGATATTACCTTTAAAAGGCAAGCTAGGCCAATTTCTTACAGTGAAAGCGTTTCATTGTAAGAAATTGTTGGACTTGGCGTCCGAGAGTTTAGTAACGAAAATACGAATTTTATCTTGGAGATGTTGGGCAATCCAACGAAGGAATCAAGCTATTGTCCAAGCTCAAGATTTTATTCTCCTGGGAATTTTTCAGCGAAGAAAGCCAGAAAATGCCGATTACGAAAAAAATAAGGGGGCCAATAAGTGAACAGTTCTCCCAAGTTTTCTTTAGATATCGCCATTTGAATCTCAGTACGTAATAACTGAAGAAAGTAAAAATGTTTGCGGTTTGCTTTCTGATGTTTTATGGTTCTTATGATATACCGGTGTCAGGTTTTTACGACTGTGTATATGATGCCGATATATCACGTTTGTGTAGTCTATCGGCTAACTCATGGAAAACACAATAAAAGTTATGACAATTAAAATATGGAGAAAATCGGTTTAAACCAATGTTTCGAAAGCGAAATTTTGTCCGTCAATTCCATGGGAAATCCTTATTTTTGGGTCAGGTAGAACAATAACACTTTAAACGCACACCAAACAATTTTTTCGTAATCAGCATTTTCCAGGCTTTCTTAATTCGCCCACTTGCACGAATCAAATCAAGTGGTGTTTTCCCAACACGGACACATGCTGAGAAGTTAGTTCAGTCACTGGAAATACAATATTTATATGGCTATTTATATAGATATGTACACTATAATATATACATCACGTCTCTGAAAACTCACGAATACAAGTCGAGTGTATGTTTTTTCCAAATTGAAAGAGAAACCATACTACTAATTATTAATTAATAATATACATGAGAAAAGTATGCAGAAGCCAATTTAAAGTTACTTGCAGCCTTGCATGAAACAAGTGATTTACTACAGCTTTAATTAATTAAGTGGAGGAGTGGCATTGCGTGGGCGATTGTCTCATTACGGCACGAAATGTCTGCACGTACGATTCTATTATTGTATTGAGCAACGATAGATGAATTAATCATTACAAGTTGACGGTTACAGAAAGTGTGCACTTATAATTCTGCTTCTGCCTGAAGCAGTCAAACGAGATTTCTTCCAGAATAGTTCAACGTTGTTCTGACCAATTTATTGGCGATTATTCAAAGCACAATTGTTCAGATCTATTTGGTGCATTTGCATCTATTTGCAACGTGAAATGGCGAACGACACGGAACTCATTAAATCGTTCATTTGGAGTAAAACACGGACGAATTTGTCAAAACTTCTCAAAGAATACCAACTGCCTCAGATTATTCGAGTCGTGGATGGCTTCTGCAGCAAAAACGAAGACACAATCTTATATGACGAACAGATACTAGCCTTGCACGAAATACATTCAGTACGGAAGCTAATTGGTACGGACAGTTCGGGCAAGCAGGTAATCATTCCATTAACGTGTCCAACACAAGTCCTAGTCTGCCCGTCCAAATGTAAGTACACACCATGTAAAGTCCAGAATTTTAAGTCCCTATTTCCTAACATACAATACGTACGAGTGAAAAGCTGCGGGCCTCAATCAAGGAATGCCAATAGTGAAAGCACGTTCAAAGTTGGTGACATAATACAAATTCAAAACATTGACCGAAAGAAAAGTGTCCTTTGTCAGAATACTGACACCAAAGGAGACATGACTCTTTCCTACAAATCCCCGGCGACTTTTACCCCCTTGCTGGACTGCCAGAAATATACACTCTCAGAAGTTGTGACCAACTACGGCCTGCCATCGAGGGTGTGCTTTGTAAGCACCCATTCGCAGGCTGATCAAAACTCGGATCAGTGGAACAGCGCGTTAACAGGTCTCACTGAAGTGGTCTTTCATAAAGTGGTAACTGAAGTTAAAGTTATCGCAACTACTGTAGGGGGAGGGGTTGGTGAACTAACGCATTGTATAGGTCTACCGACTGACCTACCCATCCGCTGCGCAGTCGCAGAACGTTTCGCTAAAAATGGCCAAAGTTATGAAGATTTTGTTCGTACGCTACACGCAGGTTTCGACAACAAGAACCTTTCAGAGAGAGTAAATGTATTCCAGGAAATAAGCCGTGTAAAGATACACGATTCTTCCAACAGTATGACGATCGTCTCACGACCACAACCCGACACCTTCCCGAGTCTTGCACGAAGTACTGCGACGGGAAGTCAGCCCCATGTTTCTCCAAAACCTAAGAAAATAACCATAATGTCCAACCTCCCTCAGTCCCCAAAAGAGTCCAAGTATCCACTAAATGATCCTAAAAAATCCTCACAAAGTCCTACCGAAGACAGTACGACCACAACCGAAGTATACGACGAACTTTCACAAAACCGCCTCGAAGATAGTGCGACTACGGCCGAAGATAACTACGTTGAAATGGGGAGACCAGAAGAAAACGATGCCGCGGATTGTGAAAAACAAAAAAGTTCATTGGATAACCAGAAAGACCTTCCCGTAAATGTTTCGATACAAAATCCTCACCTTACTGGCCAAGTAAATGCTCCATCAACACCAGAAGTCCAGAACTCACAATGCAATCGACCTAAAATTAATTCAATACATTCAAATAGTTATGCAGAAGTTAATATTATGAAACCACAATGCAATCGAGCTAAACTAAATTCAATATATTCAAATAGTTATGAAGAAGTTAATATTATGAAACCACAATGCAATCGAGCTAAAACTAATTCAATATATTCAAATAGTTATGAAGAAGTTAATATTATGAAACCACAATGCAGTCGACCTAAAACAAATTCAATATATTCAAATAGTTATGAAGAAGTTAATATTATGAAACCACAATGCAATCGACCTAAACCAAATTCAATATATTCAAATGGTTATGAAGAAGTTAAGCCAGTATGGAATTCAAACTTCAAGCAAGAATTCGCTGATCCTAGTTTAATCCTAAACAAACAATTGTCTGAAGTTTACAGTGACTATGTCATCCCTATGATATCACCAAATTTAAAATCTCAGACCCAAGAATTTGCGGATCCTGGTTTAATTCTAAACGAACAATTATCTGAGGTTCATAGTGACTATGTCATCCCTATGATATCACCAAATTTAAAATCTCAGACCCAAGAATTTGCGGATCCTAATTTAATTCTAAACGAACAATTATCTCAGGTTCATAGTGACTATGTCATCCCTATGATATCACCAAATTTAAAATCTCAGACCCAAGAATTTGCGGATCCTAATTTAATTCTAAACGAACAATTATCTGAGGTTCACAGTGACTATGTCATCCCTATGATATCGCCAAATTTACAACCGCAGACCAAGAAATTTGTAATACACAAACGAACGGATGCAAAAAATAAATCTACTGGTCGTTATGAAAATGTCGAGTGCGAAATTGATAAGAACGTTTATGAAGATATGAATCCAAAATCGGAATGGGATTCAGATTCCAGAATCGGATTCAGTGATTGGAAGATCTGAGAATTGTAATTCACAAGAAGATCCGCAAGCGGCATCAAAAATGAAATCAGGAAAATCATCAGAAATTAAATTTGCAGCAACAATTACTACAGGTGATAACTACGACCTCCGGTCGACACAAATATTAGAAAAGTAGTAGGCTAGGAAAGTTAGAACACGTGCCGTATGACACAAAACTGTTTATTATCACAAACGAAAGAACTCTTACAACCCTACGCGGTTACACTATTGAAAACTATAGACGTTCTCTGATTAAAATATTTATTTTTTACAAGCTTTCGACTGTCAGTCTACAGTCTTCAACGGGTAGATTGTAGTGAAAGTGATGGGAGGTTTACAGTTACATACAGTATACGGTATACACAATGACGTAAGTGATAGCTATACAAGATTAGTGGCTAGCTATGAATATACACGGGAATTATTAATGTTTGTTGTAGAGAAGTTTCGTTGCTACCCCGGATGTCATGGGTTTTCAAGATTCGTTCAAGTGATTCTGTCAGGCCTTTAATATAGGGAAGTACGGCGTTAACGGTAGTAGTCTGTGGCTCTACGAGGTTGAAAAATTAATTAACTAGTCCTCAGGTGGACGTACTTTCTCCTGCCGCATCATATATCATAACTCGTTTCTTTTCGACTTCTGGTAAGAAGCATAATATGTCACGTGAAGTGACTTTATATCATTTTGATTAGTATTCTTTACAATTGTTCATCCTAATTAGTATTCTTTTGTAGTCGTATTCTAGTTAAGCTATTCAAAACACTCGTTGTCGTGTTTTATCAGATATAAAACGCTCGGCTGCGCCTCGCGTTTTATATCTGATAAAACACTCCTACTCGTGTTTTAAATAGGACGTCTGTGTGCGTGGGTTTTCTGTAAACGTTTGTCAGTAATGACTAATGAACCATGATTACGTGTAACTAAAACGTCTAGAAGTGATCATTTAGTTCCGTCTGATTCGTGCTCTATTGTAAATTTAATGTGTGTGTCAATTGAGTCAAGTAAAGTAAAGAAATTAGTTAACGCATATTTTTTGATGATTGAAAAAATATCATCAACAAAGCGAAACCAGTTACGCGGTAATGCAGACTGGCTATGTGCTAATTCCTCAATTTCCTCCATGCAAAGGTTAGCCACAACAGGGCTTACAGGACTGCCCATAGCACAACCATGAATTTGTCTATCAGTTGGATTGTTGTGATTAAAAAAAACTATTGGAGAGAGTAAAACGTGGGAGATCAATTTTGTCAATTATATATTATTAATGAGTATCTTAAAGATATTTAGACTACAATTCACACCACGACAAACGACACAAAGTTAGTACTGCACAAACCCTCTTACACAGAGCAACAAAACTACCCAATACTAATGAAGGGAAACAACAAGAACATAAACGCGTACATGCAGATTTTACTATTAAACGGATACCGCCAGAGATTCTCACAAGAAGTCGAAAAGAAACGAGTTATGATGCAGGAGAAAGTACGTGCACCTGAGGAACTATAGTTAATTAATTGTTCAAGTATTCGTAGAGCCACAGACCAGCTATCGTTATGCCGTACTTCCCTATATTAATTAAAGGCCTGACAGAACCACTTTAACGAATCTTGAAACCCCATGACATCCGGTTAGCGGCGGAACCTCTACACACTACAGCAACTATTCCCTTCGCCCAAAGACGGCACCACCAGAAAACCAGACCAACGTCGTTTACAAAATCAACTGTAGCGACACTGCTCATGGAGCTACATTGGCGAAACTGGCAGAGCATTTAACACAAGCCGAAAGCAACACATAAAAAATGTTGAATTTGACAAGAGTGGTTCAATATTGCTAACGGCATGCGTGGGCAAATGATCACACAATAGATTTTGACAGCGCGGGAAAATGATTGACAAAGGCACGTATCGGCACAGACAAACACTCGAGTGGCACACTGCATGCACAAAGGGTTTGGATAACAACTCAAAACATTTACCAGAACAGTATCGATTTCTTATCAACAAACATTAATCATTCCCGTGTAACATAGCCACTAATCTTGTATACTGTAGCTGTCATTTACGTCATTGCGTATACCGTAAATGTAATAATCGTAAACCTCGCATCACTCTCATTAGCCTATAATCTACCCCTTGAAGACTGTAGACTGACAGTCGAAAACTTGTAAAAAATAAATATTATAACCAGAGAACGTGTATACTTTTCAATATGAATAATCCTGGTTTCGCATCAAAATATATATATATAAATCCTATACACTAATTCTGTTATGGATCGTTATTTCCATGTTCATTTTTGAGATACTTTCTTTTCTTTTGAAAAGCAATACAACCCACTTGACGTCCTACATGAATAATGAGGCATCAGTGAATGTTTAATTCACCTTTCCGAAAAGTAAATCACTTGGCTATATAGAGCCTCGTTTTCGTGTATGTGTACATTACTTCAAGTCTAACGTCTCCGGCAATAATGAAAATCAGTTTTGTGTCATATGCATGTACTTCATAACTAACGTAGTGTAATGGCGATTGTCCTGAAATTATATATGCAGCGTTTTTGAAAAGTACAATAACAAACATTACAGGTTAAAAAGTTAGTAATGATAAACTACTAAAACTTTGTAAGATTAATTCAAACTCAATGAAGACTATAGGCTTATAGTTTATATAAAAAATTTTATGACTTTTGAATTTTTTTTAAATAAACGTTATCTATAGGGTTATCAGAGTTTTGAAGTGAATTCCACAACATGCGAAGGTCGCGGGTTCGAATCCCAGCCGCGGACAAGTCAAATCTTCTACTAGCTCAGCTTGGTATACACTCCTTTGAAAACATATCAAAAACCGCTACATAACGTAACAAGAGTGGAATCGTCAACGTGGGAAACCACAACACACATATATATATATATATATATATATATATATATATATATATATATATATATATATATATATATATATATATATATATATATATATATATATATATATGTCGGTGATTATCGGGGAATATTCGCCGAGACGAAGTCGAGTTAGTATTTTTTACCCAAGTCTTTTGTGTTATTTGGTACTGAATTTACTTTAATTTCGCTTATTTCTTTATCAGTAAACTTCAAAAAAACGGCTAGCCGCCATTTTGAAAATTTCAGTTTTGTTATAGCTTAATACGTCAAATTTGACCAATCAGGTTGTAGGATTTGTTATGTTCACTTCAGTGTGCAAAAATACTAATACAACATGTTCCAAAATATTATGCAAATCGTTTTTTTGGTAATATTTCATAAATAATTTATCCTAAACATGTAAAACTTTCAGAGGTTATTCATTGCACTTTAGTAAACATCCAGGTGATCTCGTGTATTTTAGCCAATCAGCGCTCAGAAAGGGTTGTCCGAATAGAAATCCATTTTGATGTATCCAGTCAATCATATCTTTCGTTATTCTTTATGAAACTAGTTGAAATTTTGTAATTATGTTTGGTTATGAGAACTATAGCTCTGACAAAAATATGGAATCGAAATAAAGTATATTACAGGAGATATTCAGTTGTTTTAATCATAAAATGGATTTCTATTTGACAACTAGTGCCAGTACTTTTCCGCGTATCACGATCATCTGGATTACACATCAATATTTTTGTTAACACTCGTATAAATAATTCCATTAGGACCTTTTATGCAAATGAGGTGCTTTTGTTCTGTACCAGATTATTATGCAATTCATAAACAATAGGTTGCAATACACTCTTTCGATAATTACGTCACAACTACACTGTTTTCTTAGAATCGCCTTAAATGGAAAGGATTTCAAGTTTTTTTTTCTCATGGGCTACGCACAGAGAAGCAGAACATCATCCTTCTTCAACACATGCATGAAAAAATTTTGGATTTTGATCAATAAATATGGAAATAAGCATCACACGAAAACGAGTTAAAGTTTATTTCCTCATTTATTGGTCAAAATAAAGAATTATTTTTTATGCATGTGTTGAAGAAGGATGTTCTGCTTCCCTGTACATAGCCCATGAGAAAAAAAAACTTGAAGACCTTTCCATTTAAGGTGGTCCTAAGTTGAAAACAGTGTAGGTGTGATGTAATTATCGAAAGAGTGTATTGATACAATGGAACAATATTAAGGAAAAGTTTTAATAAATCCATATTGACATTACTGCATTGGACAACGGTCAACTAATAGCACACACACTATTTCTTTTTACTACTTATTCATATAACATCCCTTATTCAAGAGGATCTTTAAAAGTCGACTGTCAACAGATTTTGTGAATTTTTGCACTTCGTTGGCTCCAATACTCCTGGCTGCTTGGCATATACCATGCCATAATTCATCTTTCGTGGTATATTGCTGACCACCGCTGTAAATCACACGTTTTAAGATACCGCTCCAATAGTTCCCAATAGGATTAAAACCTGGAGATGCTGGTGGCCATATCATTAACTTCTCATCTTTCAAGCCAAACTTTGCGAGAAAGGAAATCGTATAACGTGCAGCATGTGATGGCGCGTTGTCCTGCATGAAAATTATTTTCTTTTTGAAAGATGCAGGACGCTGCTTACGATACCATGGAATAAAGTTATCATTCAAAAATTTTGCATATGACTGGGCATTCATATTCATCCCCATCTGGTACTCGAAATGGCCCAACAACAACCTTGCCAATTAATTAATGCAGCCCAAAACATCACGCTGCCTCCACCTTGCTGCCGTATATATTTGCTCTTGATGGTTTCGTGGTACCATTCACAAGCCAACCGCTGCACCACCCATCGCATCGGACCCATCTAAAGTTGCTTTGCATTCATCCGTGAATAGAATAGTCTGGGAATATACTTACATATACTGCCTGCATGGCCCATTCAACTCGCTTGGTCTTGTGTCTGATAGGTCTCAACTCGCTTGGTCTTGGTCTTGTGTCTGAGGTGGATGAATATTCCGCTTTACAACTTTTGCAACGGTCTGACGTATACGACAGCGGGAGGTTCTGGGGACTTCACCTACTCCAGCCGTCCCAAGTAGCTGTTTGCTTGTTAATAAAAGGTGCAGCCTCCGCTTTATGGCAGCAACTTTGCGTCTTGACAATTTTCGCCGCACACCTTTGTCACTCCTTTTCCTTTTATGGTTTACATTGATCACAAATCGTTGGATAGTTCTGTGATCACGGGATAGTTTCTTTGATACTTGAAGGGTTCTTCTCCCTTCTGGTCGAAATCGATACGCCTGTCAATCAAATCTGATACGTAGTAATTATGCTATAAATAATTTCCAGACTGAATGTTGATTTTATAAATAAACATGACATCAACGGTTCCTATTGGATAGATTTAATTGGATGATATAAGTAATGTTTATGCAAAGACGGAGCCAACTTGACAAAAGCGAAAAGTGGAAAAACTTTTGTAGAAGCAAACAGTCAAAGTCACTTGCATGCATGCATGAAACAAGTGATTTACTCATACGTACATAATAGATTAGCTTTCAACTTCATTGAAAGAGATTAGCTTTAAGTTCATTGACGGAAACTAGCTTTAAAGTTCATTGGAGGAGTGGCAATGCGCGGGCGAGTCTTTCATTACACGGAATGTCCGCTTGTACGACTCCATGATTGTATTGAGCAACCACAGATAAATTAATCACTGTAAGTCGAGGGTTATAAGAGCAGTGTACACTGATCATTCTTGTCATAATTTGAACAGTCTCTGAGAAACCAGCTAACTGTGATCTTCGAGTATAGTTCGAGCTGTTTGAAGCTAAAAAGTTCGTTGGTGATTATTTAAAGCACATGCACTTGTTTAGATCTACTTTGTGATTTAATCAGTGTGAAATGGCGAACGATACGGAACTCATTGGATCGTTCATTTGGAGTAAAACACAAACGAATTTGTCAAGACTTCTTAAAGAATACCCACTGCCTCAGATTGTTCGAGTCGTGGATGGCTTCTGCAGCATTAACGAAGACACAAGCTTATATGATGAACAGATACTCGCCTTGCACGAAATACATTCAGTACGGAAGCTAATTGGTACGGACAGTTCGGATACGCAAGTAACTATTGCATTGTCGTGCCCAACACAAGTCCTAGTCTGTCCGTCCAAATGTAAGTACATAGCATGTAAAGTCGAAAATTTTAAATCCATTTTTCCTAACATACAGTACGTGCGAGTGAAAAGCTTGGGGCCTCAATCAAGGAATGCCAATAATGAAAGCACGTTCAAAGTTGGTGACATAATACAAATTCAAAAGATTGACAAAAAAAAGAAAAGTGTCCTTTGTCAGAATACTGACACCAAAGGGGACATGACTCTTTCCTACAAATCCCCGGCGATTTTTACCCCCTTGCTAGACTGCCAGAAATATACACCCTCAGAAGTTGTGACCAACTACGATCTGCCATCGAGGGTGTGCTTTGTGAGCACCCGTTCGGAGGCTGATCAAAACTCGGATCAGTGGAACAGTGCGTTAACAGGTCTCACTGAAGTGGTCTTTCATAAAGTGGTAACTGAAGTTAAAGTTATCGCAACTACTGTAGGGGGAGGGGTGGGTGAACTAACGCATTGTATAGGTCTAGCGACTGACCTACCCATCCGCTGCGCAGTCGCAGAACGTTTCACTAAAAATGGCCAAAGTTATGAAGATTTTGTTCGTACGCTACACGCAGGTTTCGACAACAAGAACCTTTCAGAGAGAGTAAATGTATTCCAGGAAATAAGCCGTGTAAAGATACACGATTCTTCCAACAGTATGACGATCGTCTCACGACGACAACCCGACACCTTGCCGAGTCCTGTACGAAGTACTGCGACGGGAAGTCAGTCCTACGCTTATTCAAAACCTAAGAAAAAGACTATGATGTCCAACCTTCCTAAGTCCCCAAAAGATTCCAAGTATCCACTAAGTGATCCTAAACAATCCTCACAAAGTCATCCCGAAGACAGTACGACCACAACCGAAGTATACGACGAACTTTCGCAAAACCGCCTCAAAGATAGTGCGACTGCGGCCGAAGATAACTACGTTGAAATGGGGAGAACAGAGGAAAACGATTATAAAAATACCGATTGTGAAAAACACAAAAGTTCATTGGATAACCAGAAAGATCTTCCCATGAATGTTTCGATACAAAATCCTCACCTTACTGGCCAAGTAAATGGTCCATCAACATCAGAAGTCCAGAACTCACAATGCAATCGACCTAAAATTAATTCAATATATTCAAATAGTTATGCAAAAGTTAATATTATGAAACCACAATGCAATCGACCTAAAACAAATTCAATATATTCAAATAGTTATGAAGAAGTTAATACTATGAAACCACAATGCAATCGACCTAAAACAAAATCAATATATTCAAATAGTTATGAAGAAGTTAATATTATGAAACCACAATGCAATCGACCTAAAACAAATTCAATATTTTCAAATGATTATGAAGAAGTTAAGCCTGCATGGAATTCAAACTTCAAGCAAGAGTTTGCTGATCCTAGTTTAATCCTAAACAAAGAATTATTTGAAGTTCACAGTGACCACGTCATCCCTATGATGTTACCAAATTTAAAATCTCAGACCCAAGAATTTGCGGATCCTAATATAATTCTAAACGAACAATTATGTGAGGTTCACAGTGACTATGTCATCCCTATGGTATCGCCAAATTTACAACCTCAGACCAAGAAATTTGTAATACACAAACGAACGGATGCAAAAAATAAATCTACTGGCTCACTAAGTGATCCTAAACAATCCTCACAAAGTCATCCCGAAGACAGTACGGCCACAACCGAAGTATACGACGAACTTTCACAAAACCGCCTGGAAGATAGTGCGACTACGGCCGAAGATAACTACGTTGAAATGGGGAGAGCAGAGGAAAACGAGTATAAAAATACCGATTGTGGAAAACACAAAAGTTCAGTGGATAACCAGAAAGACCTTCCCATGAATGTTTCGATACAACATCCTCATCTTACTGGCCATGTAAATGCTCCATCAACACCAGAAGTCCAGAACTCACAATGCAATCGACCTAAAATTAATTCAATATATTCAAATAGTTATGCAAAAGTTAATATTATGAAACCACAATGCAATCGACCTAAAACAAATTCAATATATTCAAATGGTTATGAAGAAGTTAAGCCAGCATGGAATTCAAACTTCAAGCAAGAGTTTGCTGATCCTAGTTTAATCCTAAACAAAGAATTATTTGAAGTTCACAGTGACTATGTCATCCCTACGGTATCGCCAAATTTACAACCTCAGACCAAGAAATTTGTAATACACAAACGAACGGATGCAAAAAATAAATCTACTGGTAGTTATGAAAATGTCGAGTGCGAAATTGATAAGAACGTTTATGAAGATATGAATGCAAAATCGGAATGCGATTCAGATTCTAGAATCGGATTCAGAGATTGGAAGACCTGAGAATTGTAATTCGTAAGAAGATCCGCAAGCGGCATCAAATATGAAATCAGGAAAATCATCAGAAATGAAATTTGCAGCAACAATTACTACAGGTGATAACTACGACCTCCGGTCGACACAAATATTAGAAAAGTAGGCTAGGAAATATTAGAACACGTGCCTATGACACAAAACTGTTTATTGTCTCAAAAGAAAGAACTCTTACAATCCTAGTCTTTTCTAGATCGTTATTTCCATGTTTCATTGTTGAGATATTTTCTTTTCTTAGTAAAAAAGCAATACAACCCACTTAATTAATTAACGTAATACATGAAGGCATCAGTGAATGCTTAATTAACCTTTCCAGAGAGTACTGATCACTTGGCTATATAGAGCCTCGTTTTCGTGTATGTGTACATTACTTCAAGTCTAACGTCTCAATAATGAAAATCAGTTTTATGTCATATGCATGCACTTCATAAGTAACGTAGTGTAATGGCGATTGTCCTGAAATTATATATATGCAGCCTTTTTGAAAAGTGCAATAACAAGCATTACTAATTGAAAAGTGATGACAAACTACTAAAACTTTTCAAGCTTAATTCAAACTCAATAAAGAAGACTATAATAGTTCTATAGCTAGTTATAAAGGATTTTATGACATTTAAAATGCTTTAAAAATAAACGTTATCTACCGTTATCAGAGCTTTGAATTGAATTCTACATGGTGTAATATCCTCTATTTATTATATAGGCTATGATCGCCCTTTAAGCCGGTTTTCCATTAGGCAATTTTGCACGCGGAGCGGAAATTTCTTTGTCTTGTGACTTCTCTGGGTGAAACTAATTAGAAAAGAGAAAGATTCCGCTCTGTCCGCAAAATTTCGCCTAATGGAAAACCGGCTTTAGTCGCCTTTAGTTGCAACCAATTGTTCCGGCCAGTCTCTTTGGCCAAGTTATGTATAGCAGAACGAGAACTCGATTTTTCGCATGTACGGATGTACCACTGATATACACTAAGACTGGATAGCGTTTGTAATTCTAACCTAAATAATAAAACAATTATTGAATTCGGTTCTCGCAGGACATGAGGAATTATTAACGCCGAGGTTTGTGTTATCTGCCTATTCAATAATTGTTTGATATCGTAATCGTATATGTGATAATGAACGTTAAAAGAATGCATGCATTAAGTTCGGCTCATTAAAACCACGGCATCTAAACCCATGTCGAACCTGCGTCTCGCCGGCGCTGAATATCACATGTCTTGCCTTATTTTGTGTCATATCGAATCTAATCAAAACTTGCTGAGCTTAACTGATGTACTTGGATGCGGCTCGTCTGTCGTATTTGACCGTTGTATTAGGTTCAGCGCATGAAAAGTTCGCCGTCTGAACCAGTTTAGGACGAGTTCTCGCTCCGGATTATTATTAGAAAAGAGCGGAGATCTGGGCTTCCAGAATGAACGCCAGTTTTTACAAATAACTTCGTGTTTTCGAAACGCCGGAAACATGCTGGCGTAAATACAATATTTATGTTTATTTAGAAGTATTGTGATTTGGTGACGTCTTTGAAAAACTCACGAATACAAGTCGAGTACGTGTGCGTTTTCCCGCCAAAGTTGGATGAGAAATCATGCTACTACTTATTGCTAATATACATGAAAAACGTATGTAGAAACAAATTCAAAGTCACTTTGTCATCTATGAAACAAGTGATAGACTAGCTCTATACAAAGTTCGTTTGGAGGAATAGCATTGCGTGGGCGAGTGTTTGATCACGCGAAACGTCTGCAGGTATGATTCTAGAAGGTTTTGAGTAACAAGAGAGGAATTAATCATTGCGAGTTCAAATGAAATACTACTGATGTAGACGTCGGATTTGATTGTGTCGTGCCAAAATACAAGTCACTATATCAGAAATTTCAGTGCTCAATGGCTAATACAGTATATCGTAATCGTATAAGGACATTGGCAACGAAAATGTTTATTCTTTATATCTATATTAAACTTCTCTACGGAATACTTAATTTCGTGTTTTCGTCTGTCCATCGCATTTAGTTGTTGAAAAAAAATGTGAAAACGTTGAACAGTCGTCCGCCATTTTGAAAAAAAACTGCCTATGCTAATTTATGCATTACACGTCATTAGCAGGGTCAGCGCAAATCTGCAACATTTTTGTCAACATGAACGTCACCTGAAAATTGGTATAACTAATTTTGGCGACATTTTGCCTCATAGTGCTCGTGTAAGGATGCAAAAATCTTTAAAAATCTTATGCTTTGTCATATGTGTCGAAGATTACCACAAACTGACACGGACACTGTTTTTAATCCAGTCCCCCCTCGGCAATCTGACGTCCGTCCGTCCAAAAACGTCGCTTGCTTAAAGCCAGGGCCGCCCAGAGGTTGGCGGGGGCCCGGGGCAAATTTTTTTTTAGGGGCCCCTATCTAAAAAAATTTTCCCGGAAAATTTTTTTTCCGGAAAACAACCTCCCCCCCACCCAAATTTTTTCCGGAGTACAAAATTTTTCTGGACGAGTACGTTGCAATTGCTTTCGAGGGACTTTATCTCATTTTTTTTATGCCAAAATTCGGTACTTAGCCCAAGAAAACAGATATCTTGTCCTTTGCGCGGAAATATTTAACACACAAAAAAGGCTGGGGCCCAACAAAAATTTTTCAGGGGCCCCCAGCAACTCGGGGCCCGGGGCAATTAGTAAGAGCTTTAAGCAGGGTGGGCGGCCCTGCTTAAAGCTCTTCCTGATGTAATACAAAACAAGTGTAACCCCAAAGATCGATAACATTTTTATACTTATCAACGTTTCGACTATATTTCAGCCATCATCAGGATAAATTCTACTGTAACTACAATCAGGAGCAATAATTAATTATTGAGACAACCGCATAAATCCCCCACCCCCAATTCAATGTTGTGCGAATGACTGAAAGGAGAAGATTCAACCCACTTTTTCCAACATTGATCGTGTGGGCAAGGAGGAGGCCGAACACGCGAAAAGTTTCATTATTTTTGCACGCGATTGTAGGTTATACATCAAAAGCAGTATTTATAATGAATTAGCTAAATATGATTAGTTCTTTAGAAGCTTTAATTCCATGATTAAGTTCAGGTTTCTATCTTTGAATAGCGAGGGATTCTTGATACAGCAAAAGGGACCAATGGTTACTGTTTATCAATTACTTTAGTATTGTCGAAAACATGTTCCACCATTATACTGGTTTGATTAGACTTTGCGTCATCGTCGCGTAGGTGTTGTGGTATTGAAAAATTTCGAAATATTACGAAAGTCACGGAACTGTGGAATCGCATCAAAAATTCGTATCGCCGCCACTCCCACAAACGTCTACGACCGCACCTACATATTTTTTGCATGTTTACAACTCTATGAGCCGTCAGATACTTTGATACTTTGTTTTTAAACCAGCGTCGTTACATGCCACCGGTGCCATTAAGATTATTATTCAAATAAGTGCACATTCCATCTTTATGAGTCATCACACAGCTATTATTATCAAGCGTCCAACTGCTGCTTGTGTGGTCCGGTTGTGATCTTTTGTGATAAACACTTGCCCACGCATGTTTTCTAGACTTTACCGGGAAATAATTTCGTTAAAACTTTCGATATTTCTTTGGTATTTTCGGTATTATTATTTGGTATATTCGAAAAATCGAATCAGTATCGATATTTTTTGAAATTTCGATATTTATCGACTATATCGATATTACCGCAACAGCCTATCGTCTGGAGCCGGTTGTATCGTCTGGAGCCGGTGGATTAGCGCTAACTCTGCATATATAGGTCAAGATTTAACCTGCTATTTTAGTTCATGTATTTCTGCACGTCTGTTTATTTCAAAACGTTGGAGAAGAAAACTCCTACTGATCCAGACAATATTTCTGATGAAATATTTCCAAATTTATAAGCAAGCTGTTCTGAATGTCCTATCAAGTTCGGGCCATGAAAAGCACGTCGTCTAAACCCATGTCGAACTTGTGTCTCAACCTGTATCGCATAATATCACATGACTTGCCGTACAGTAAAACCCCGCATATAAGAACCTAGAATTTAAGAACCTGTTAGGCTAAAATATTTTTATTATTTAGACCCCCTCTAAATAAGAACATGTTCAGGCTAGAATTTCAAGTAGAGTCAAAATTAAGTCATAAGTTACAATCAGTGTAGCTTTAAAGTGCATATAGGGTTGGTATAGTGCATATACTGTCATTTTTTAGATCATTTGTGCATTAATTTAAAACTTATACCACACCTTCATAAAACGAATCGCTTTCTCTTAAGGAAATAAGAACCTATTTAAGAACCTGTTTCGCCTAATTTCCTGGTAAGCACCATTTACATAATAACCTGTTTAGGCCAACTTGGAAAGTCTAGGTTCTTATATATGCGGGGTTTTACTGTATTTTGTGCCGTATCGAATCTAATCAAAACTTGCTGCATGAACTTAATTGATGTAGTCAGATGCGGCTCTTCTGTCGTATTTGACGGTTGTATTCGGTTCGGCGCATGAAAAGTTCGCCGTCTGAAGCGGACCTTTAGGAAGACTGCTCTCTCTCCGGTTTTCCGTCAGTTGGCTCACTTGCACGTATGCATTATTAGAAACGATATGAGATCTGGGCTTCCAGAATGAACGGCGGTTTTGGCGAATAACTTGTTGTCTGACGTAAATACAATATTTATATTTATTTAGAAGTATTGGAATTTGGAAAGTCATGTCTTTGAAAAACTCACGAATACAAGTCGAGTTGTGCGTTTTCCCAACTTGGATGAGAAATCATACTACTACATAAAACGCCGATATTTTGAAAAATTCAAAATAAATATTTCTACTCTGTGCCGTATTCAAACGAAACTTTGTACATGAAAGCGCTTGAATACAAGACGTATTTTATTCACATTGACTCTGAACAAATTCTGAAGAGTTTAGAAGATATTCAAGTTTTTTTCTCGATATGAAATACAGAATGTTTGGCCAAGCCAAGCGG